AAAGAGAGGCTCATCTCTCCGAAAAGGACAGTCACCATCCCGCTCACACAGGAGCTCCAACCAGCAGGCTGAATCCTCTCACAACCCAGCAACTCCCGCAGGGGTGATCACAAGGGAGGAGTTCGACCAGCTGAGGGGCAAGCTCGATGCTCAGGTGGAGGCCTTAAARGCCAAATGTGAGCAGAAAGAAGGTTCACTGAACGATGGCGACTTGGGAGAATCGCCCTTCACCTCGGACGTTTTGGAAGCACCGATCCCTCYGAAGTTCAAAGCTCCTACCGTGAAGCCTTATGATGGGTCGAGGGACCCCAAGGACTATGTTGAGGTCTTTGAAGGCCTCATGGACTTCCAAGCGGCATCAGACACAATCAAATGCCGCGCCTTTCAGATCGCGCTTACTGATAGCGCGCGATTGTGGTATCGGAGACTGCCAGCCAGGTCGATCTCGACCTACTCTCAGCTGAGAAGGGAGTTCCTCGCCCAGTTCTCTTCTCGGCATTATGACAAAGAAACAGCGACCCATCTCGCCACCATCAGACAGAAGGAGGGTGAGACGCTGCGGGAATATGTCACCAGATTCCAGGAGGAGCAGTTGAAGGTCACACACTGCTCCGATGACTCGGCCATGTGCTACTTTCTCACCGGTCTAGCCGACGAAGCCYTCACGGTGAAACTTGGAGAGGAGGCCCCGGCCACCTTCGCCGAGGTGCTTCAGAAGGCGAAGAAGGTCATCGATGGACAGGAGCTCCTCCGAACCAAAACCGGCCGACCGGAGCGAAAGATCGGCCGGGGCAGAAGTGGAAAAGATATAGAAAGGGCAGATCTCAAGTCCAAGGACAAGGGATCCTTTTCCAGCGACCGAGCTGGGTATCGAAGGGCGGAGAACGGACCTACCAGGAGCCGACCTTACGAACGCTTCACCCCGACCACGATTCCAATTTCCGAGATCCTAACGAACATCGAAGAGTCTGGAATGGAAAAACTACTCAAGCGTCCTGAGAAGCTTCGGGGAGCCCCGGAGAGGCGCAGCAAGGACAAGTATTGCCGCTTCCATCGGGAGCACGGCCACAACACGTCGGACTGCTGGGAGTTGAAGCGCCAAATTGAGGATCTAATTTAAGATGGCTACTTCAAGAAATTTGTGGGAAAGCCCAGGACCAGCTCGGCAGAGAAAAAGGAAGAGCGAAAGCGTTCAAGGACGCCGCCCC